AAGATTCTCCTGTCTCCTTTTTCCCTTTGTCTCCCGCCACCCCCAACCAAACTCAGCTGCCTATACACCCCAGCTGCCTATACACCCCAGAGCTGCCTGTACACCCGAGCTGCCTGTACGCCTGAGCTGCCTGTACACCCGAGAGCTGCCTGTACACCCGAGAGCTGCCTATACACCTGAGCTGCCTGTACACCCGAGAGCTGCCTGTACACCCCAGCGCTGCCTATACACCTGAGCTGCCTATACACCCCCGAGCTGCCTGTACACCTCAGAGCTGCCTATACACCCGAGCTGCCTATACACCTGAGCTGCCTATACACCTGAGCTGCCTGTGTATGCTGACCTCAACAAGTGCTGCTGCTTCTTCGGTAGCCTTCCCGGATGCACAAAGCGTCGCGGTATTCGCCGCAGCACAGGCAGCGGGGGCTCCCACTCCTGCTGCTGCTGCTGCTGCTGCTGCTGCTGCTGCTGCTGCTGCTGCTGCTGCTGCGGCTGCTGCTGCAGTATGTCTGGGGGTATGAGGTTTGCTGCTGCAGCAGTTTGTATATCTGTTTGTATTTGTTTCAGCTTCTGCTGCAGTTTAGAGACAGTTGCTGCTATGTTGTCCTGTCTCCTTTTATATTTATTTTTTTGGGGGCTCAGCAGCAGCTTGCTGCTGCACTCAGCTAGCCGCTGCTGCTGCTGCTGCAGCTGCAGATACACCACACGCTGCTGCAGCAGCAAAAACTCATCCAGAGACAGACCATCAGCCTCCTGCACTGCATCACCACCACTGTCTCCTGTCTCCTCTTTTGTTTCTGCTGCTGCTGCTGCTGCTGTTGTTGTTGCTGCTGCTGCTGTTGTTGCTGCTGCTGCTGCAGCTGAAGCTGTTGCTGCTCCAGCAGCAGCAACAGCAGGCGTTGCTTCTGCTGCAGGTACACCACCACCACCACCACCATCAGCATCAGCAGCAGCAGCAGCAGCAGCAGCAGCAGCAGCAGGAATACATGGTTGGGGTTTGTCTGGGTTGTACTCAGCAACAACCCTATCGTGTGTCTTCGGCTGCAGCAGCAGACAGCGGCCCCCCAGCTTTATGATAGCTCTTGCTGCTGCTCGAGTGAATGCATGCGCCTGAGCAGCAGCAGCAGCAGCAGCAGCAACAGCAGCAACAGCAGCAGCAGCAGAAGGAGAAGGGGAGAGGCAGTGGCAGCAGCAGCAGCAGCAGCAACAGCAGCAGGAAACGCAGAAAGAATACGCACGGGGTTAGGGTTTAGGGTTTAGGGTTTAGGGTTTAGGGTTTAGATGTATTGACAGCAATAATAAAAAGGAAGATATAATAAAAAATACATCAGCAGCAGCAGCAGCAGCAGCAACAGCAGCAGCAGCAACAGCAACAGCAGCACCAACAACAGCAACAGCAGCATCACCACCACCGCCAGCAGCAGCAGCAGCACCACCACCACCACCACCATCAGCAGCACCATCACCATCAGCAGCAGCAGCACCACCACCATCAGCAGCACCACCACCATCAGCAGCAGCACCACCACCTCCATCAGCAGCAGCAGCAGCAGCAGCAGCAGCAGCAGCAGCAGCAGCAGCATACCTGTACTTGGAGTCCTCTGACTCTGAGTTGTCCGTCTTCGTTCGGCCCCAACCGCTTACGGCTCAGGGGGGGCCCCACCACCTTGTATACACAGCAGCAGCAGCAGCAGCAGCAGCAGCAACAGCAGCAGCAGCAGAAGCAGATAAAGATGCAGTAGCAGCGGAAGCAGTAGCGGCAGAAACAGATGCAGCAGCAGCAGCAGAAGGAGAAGAAGCAGCAGAAGCAGCAGCAGCAGCAGCAGCAGCAGCAGCAGATGCAGCAGCAGCAGCAGATGCAGCAGCAGCAGCAGATGCAGCAGCAGCAGCAGATGCAGCAGCAGGAGCAGATGCAGCAGCAGGAGACAGAAGGAGACAGAGTGCAGATACCCTGGGACTACTGCTGCAGCTACAGCACAGCCAGCAGCAGCAGCAGCAGCAGCAGCAGCAACACTAGCAGCAACAACAACACCACCACCACCGCCACAACCACCATCACCACCACCACCATCAACAGCAACAGCAACAGCAGCAGCAGCAGCACCACCACCACCACCATCAACAGCAGCAGCAGCAACAGCAGCAGCAGCAGCAGCAGCATGAGCCTCTGTCTCCTCATACCTTAACGGGTGCATCTCTTTTATATTTTCCAAGAAATACACCTTTTTGTTGAGCTATAGAAAAGGAGACAGTCTCCTTTTGTTTAAATATATTTAATTTATTTATATGCAGCAGCTGCGGCGCATGCATGCAGTATCTCCGCCGAAAGCCAGCCCCAAGAGGACGACCAACAAACTTCGGTAAACGACGGTATAGAGGCATTTGACCCCCCTCAAACCCTAAACATATAAAATAAATTATATTTATTTATTTATTTATTTGTTTGTTTGTTTGTTTTTGTTTGTTTGTTTAGGTTCTATCTTTATTTATTTGTATTTATCTTTGTCTGGTTGTTTATTGTTGTTTTTTTGTGTTTATATTTATTTATTTATTTATAGACGACGGTATAGAGGCATTTGGCCCCCCTCAAACCCTAAACACATAAAATAAATTATATTTATTTATTTGTTTGTTTGTTTTTTTGTTTTTGTTTATTTAGTTTTATTTATTTTTGTCTTTTTTTCTTTTTTTGGGTGTTTATTGTTGTTTTTTTGTGTTTATATTTATTTATTTATTTATATATGGACGACGGTATAGAGGCATTTGGCCCCCCTCAAACCCTAAACATATAAAACAAAGTATTTATTTATTTATTTATTTATTTATTTATTTATTTATTTGTTTGTTTTTATTTGTTTGTTTGTTTAGTTTTTATCTTTATTTATTTGTATTTATATTTGTTTGGTTGTTTATGGTTGTTTTTTTGTGTTTATATTTATTTATTTATTTATTTATTTATTTATTTATTTATTTATTTATTTATTTATAGACGATACAAAGGCATCTAATAAATAAAAATAAAAATAAATAAATAAAAAATATAAATAAATAAATAAAAATAAAAATAAAAATAAAAAAATAAAAAAATAAAAACAAACAAATTTTTATAGATCCCCCTTCTCTTCCCTTGCAACAAAAAAAGAGAAATAAATAAAAATATAAATAAATAAATAAAAATAAAAACAAATAAATAAATAAATAACAAAAATATAAATAAATAAATAGATAAAAATAAAAATAAATAAATAAATAAATAAAAACAAAAACAAACAAACGAACAGACAAAATATAAATAAATAAATAAATAAATAAAAACAAAAATAAATAAAAATAAATAAATAAAATACAAACCTATTTTAATAGACCCCCCCGCTCTTGCTTTCTGTCCCTTGCAGCCAAAAAAAAAGAAAAAAATAAAAAATAAAAAAAAGACAAAAACAAAAACAAACAAACAAACAAACAAATATATAAATAAATAAATAAACAAATAAATAAAAACAAAAATAAATAAATAAAAATAAAATAAATAAAATACAAACCTATTTTAATAGACCCCCCAGCTCTTGCTTTCTGTCCCTTGCAGCCAAAAAAAAAAAAAAAAAAAAAAAAAAAAAAAAAAA